GCCTGTCGCAACGTGCGGACGATGGTACCGAGATGCCGATCGCATTTGCGAGCCACAAGTTCTCTCCAACTCAAATGCGCTGGTCGACTATTGAGCGAGAGGCCTTTGCAGTCATCTGGGGTCTGAAAAGGTTTGATTTCTGGCTCTTCGGCGCACAGGTTACCGTGGTGTCAGACCACAACCCACTAGCTTTTCTCACCCAGGGCACTCTTCCTGGGGCTAAGCTTACCTTTTGGGCCTTGGCGCTTCAGCGGTATCATGCAGTGGTGCAGCATAGGAAAGGCGTCGAGCATGGCAACGATGCACTTTCGAGGGTGCCTAATGAGTGCTGGGGATCGGCAGTGGTGCTCCGGGGGTCGAGACACTAGAGGACTAGGCACGTGCTGGACACTCAAGAGTGACGTGCGCGAACCTGTGGACAATTGAACAGCACCACGCGTTGAAAGGTCTATGTGCCTCAGTGAAGTGTATTGTTTCTCTTGTGTGTGTGTAGCATGCAGGAGTCATTGGAATTTTTGTTGAATTTGAACGGCACCATGTGCCGAAGGGTGTGTGTGTGTTTCAGTGAAGTATTTTTTTTGTGTATAAGTACGACTGCAAGCATGTAGAAGTTTGTTGTTGTTTTACTTGCCTGCTTTATAGATTGTACTTGTGTGCACAGTGACCTCGTGTCTATTTTTTTCTTCTTTTTTTTTTACTATGTGGTGGCGTCCGTTTGGTGGGGCCCCAAGGGTTAAGCAGAGAAAGTATTGCACGCGTTGCAGAAACGCCTCTGACGTTTAAGGAACTGCCAAGTATGACCACAGGGTTGGAGACGTGCAGCGCCGTACCTTTATGTTGTTATTCGCGCAGCTGCATTTGAGCGCTTGCGCGAATCTCGGAAAAGGCGTGTAAGGTCTGGTGTCGCAGGCCACGGGAGCGTCTTCTCGGTCTCAAAAGGGCGCGCTTCCCAAAAAGCCTATTTTCGGGAAACGATAATCTCGGCGTAAGCGCGCCCCTTCTGACAAGAATACCACGGTCAATCGCCGCTTCTAGCAACCAGCTAAATGGTCCCCGGAATGCGGATTGCCGGCGGGTGACGGGAGGACAGTGCATAGCCACCCATCCGTCAGGAGTAGAGTCCGCGGGGTGGCTGTCATACCGGACAGCGTAGTCATCTCGCGGTAATGCAGGAGGCCCGCAGCCGAACGGCGCCACCATTGTGTGCGTTCGCACAGTTCGCGGAACGTTGGGGGCAGGCCAGTCCTGTCGTCTCTCTCTTTCCGACCGAGAAGTCGAGTGAGGGAAGAAGAGAGCGAGAGGAGGGGACGGCAACAAGTGTGTTGTCTGTCCAATAAACGGACTAAATTGCTTTGGTTGGCCGTGAGAAGAATCGGGAGGGGCAACCGAGGTATTAAAACCTGGCTTCCGAGGCCTCGCGAGAGGGTCTGGTCACAACAAAGAGTGCTCTGCACTATCAACTCTGCCGAGGCAACATGCGACGGTTCCGACGGTCAAGTCTTGTAAATATGTACATAAGTTTCTGTATATAAAGTCGAGTTGTTGTCACGTGTGAAATGTGCGGGCCTCCATCCCCGAACAAGCAGCAGCAGCGACGACAAAACAGGACGGACACCGAGAAGCAACCAACCTTCCACTCCCTTCTGTAGCAACAGCCGCTACGCAGCTGGGAGAGCTCTGCTCAAGATAACAGAGGGAGTGGGTAGAAGGTTGAGTTTTACTGCCGACTAATAGTGTTGCTGCAGTAAGTGGAGCAGAAAGGCGAGGATGTCGACGGGCGAGTGCATGCCTCGATGGAGTGAGACGAAGGAAAGCGGGACGTGCAACGCCTGCACACATTCGCAGCTCAAGCTACAAATATCTTCCTCCCGCAATCCTGATGCACATTGAAGTAGAGTATGCATGAGCCCAGGCATAGGTTACACTATTACTCGGGAGTGCGCACCATGCCGCTTCTCTCAAGTGAGACGCTTTGAAGAAGTGTATATCGAGTGCCAGAGTTTACTACGTACTTGTTGATGCCATATTTACACGCAATTTATGATACGCTGCATCCAGGTATAAGTTAAAAGCCTTAGCTACCACAATAATCAAATCATGATCATGGGCATTAGTTGTTGCGATTCAAATGTGCCACTAGGCGTCAATGTGGGTATATCCACATTAAATGGTGTGATAGCTGCCAAAAACCAATAGACATAGTACAAACTCTCATTTATGAATGCAATAAGCACTACTTCTGTGAAAGCACATGTCACATTGATAATATATAGATTCCTATAACGAAAGAATCGTTTTTTTTTTAGTGCTGGAGTTTTGTAAAGTTGGGTGAGATTAGATCCAGTGAAGGCCTTCCCTACTTCCCAGCTTGGTTGTCTAAGAAGTCAACAGTTGCAACTCGGCACCTTCGCTGTTACTTCCCCTTGAGGAAAGAGTTACGTTGGTTTAAATAATCCCATTTTAGTTGAAGCATTGTGAAAGTCTTAATTACCCAATCAGACAGGCAACTGTGTCAAAATGTTCAGCTTCAATATTCAATAATGTGCACTTTTTTTTTTCTTTTCTTTCTTCTCATAACAATGGCCAACCTATATCATGTCAGAAATGTGCGATCCACTGGAACGCGGTTATAGGGGAGCAATCTGGCGACATTGTTATCAGTGACAATGTGGTATATCTAGAGTTTCAATGCTTCTCGCAGCTATAAAAAGAAATGATAGCTCCTGGAAATGCACATGCTACGAGAATATTCAGGCTACACACACACAAGCACCCATACACGCAAATTTCTCCCGACTTAGCTGTTCTGTTTGATTAGCACAATAGTAGGTAAATTATTAGTCGTCCGGGTTGCCCACACAAAGTGCCTTCATATTTTATGCTTCAGTTAAGCTGCCATTGCTTAGCTACATCGTTAGGCTATGTGTTGAACAAAAACTTAAAACAAACAACATTTTCGATTCCTGTAGTTTCTAGATTATAAGAAAATATGCCTGCATTAAAGCTGCCATTGCTTAGCTACATCGTTAGGCTATGTGTTGAACAAAAACTTAAAACAAACAACATTTTCGATTCCTGTAGTTTCTAGATTATAAGAAAATATGCCTGCATTACAGACCTTTTCAGTTTACCACGAATGTGAGAATAGTGCACTGCGTGAATAGTCAACGGTTCATTCACTAACTATGGAGCAATAAGTGCATACATATTCGCAACTTTCACGGCCTATAGGTGGCGCGACTACATCCAACATTGTTTTAATTGAGATGATCGCCCCGATACAGACAGTACTGGAAAGTACACTTTTGGCCAAGACTGCTATTTTCCGCGTCTCGGTGGCCCTTTGATTTATGTTTTTGAGAAAGTAGGGAAGCGCTAACATAATATATTAAGCGAATAAATGCTGGGTAGCACATTGGGTGTATAAATATGTGCGAAATTATAAATAAGACAAACACCTACGCTCTCCACCATTGTGTACAATCGCACGCAATGACTGGTGTCATGTTGGAAAAGTATTATAATGGGAGTCTCAGTACAAATTTTTCAGTAATGCCAGAAACATTTCCGGAGACGCGCTTCGTCTTCAAGTTTTGCTTGCATTGTATTTTGCGCAAAGCTTGTTCAGTTCACCTGAAAGCGCGAAGCAGAGTAAGCAGACGAAAAAAAGTTATTTTTCAATTCAGAAGCACAAGAACCATGTCTTATTACCGGCAATATGATTCTAGGAGTGCTTTCTTGACTAAAATAACATCAAAAGAAATAATATCAAAAGAATAGAATTCGGCAAGCAGCACGAACGAAACCAGTGGTAATATGCAATTTTCCCGTTTAAGAGGGGTCGTTCCCGTTACTGCACTATGTTTCGATATTTGAGAAGTACAAAAGATAGCATGGTACGGAGAAGAAACGACACAAAAAAAAAAAAAAGCGCCATCAGAAAGTAAGACCGCGCATGAATTGCTGCAGATCTGAAGGTCATGAGGCACTTCGCAGACCCCTCAGATGTGTAATGATGTGAACGTTTTGAAACCGGTCCTTTCATTCTATTCTAGAAACGGAACGCATTCCTAATTTAGTTCTGGTATTGTTTGCATCTGCGACCGTGTCAAGCAGATGATCTAAGCGTGAAAACTGCAAACCTGGAAGCTGCGGTACTCTTACACAAAACAGGTGCTGCATACATTCACAAGCTTTATTTGCCTGCTAATTTTAACCCTATTAACAGCTCATGGCGTTTTGAGGTGCTAATTTGAATGGTAGGCTTACTTTTCCTCACTGTGTATGTAGGCTGTGAGCATCGAGGCTCGCAATCAGTCGGATTTCTCTGTTTCTTTCTACATTTCATTTGCCTACTTTATCTACTTTTCCTTTAAAGGGTTCCGGTAATATCGAGGCCGTTCACAACGATGCAAAACGACCACAAACGCAGGCAAACAAGCAGCAACAACTGCTGGTTTGAAGCAGGTCCAAAACTTCGATCATCTCAGCAGAGCTTTCGGCCGTTACCGCATAGCGGCGCCTCAGTACCTGGAAGTTGCGAATAATGAATGAACATAACGTGTAGTATGCTGTAACGCATTGACAAGAGCGAGAAAGCTTGGGCTAGTTGGTATGACATGACGATAGTTATAGCGCGAAAACAGAACGACGACAAAGAGACAAGAAGGGCACGAGTGCTTCGTGTCCTTGTCTCTGTCGTCGTTCTGTTCTCGCTCTATAACTATGGTCATGACATAGACAGGCTTCTCTTGTAGACAGAAACTGAAAATGATGGGGATCAGTTCATGAACAGTTCAAAAGAAATGACAGCGTGTCTAACTTTCTTATGCACTGAAGGCGATAATAACGGCCAACGGAAAGAAAGCACAGGCACTGCGGTATGCAGTTAACCATTACGAAACTTTGAAAGGCGTAACTTCTCCGGTGTACACTGTTCGCTTTTATTACAAACCCTTGCTAAGTAACAATGGCTGCAGACATCGTCAAGGTACGCGTACCTGTTAGGGGTGTAGCTTTCGTCGAGCTTATAGTCGGCGTAAATGCATATCCCCTGGATGGTCGTCTTGCGACGGAACTGAATGTTGACTAGATGCGGCTGCGGCCCATCGGATTGCCAGTACGTGTCGAGGCAGTTGTCCCGCAGCTGATCAACGCCGAATCCTGCAAGAACATCCACAATCACGTAAAACGCTTCACAGCACATGCTGTTTACACAACCGTAAGTTGCCCAGACGCGAGGGACGCGAGAAAACGAGACGCGCCACGGACGCGCCTGCCCAAAAGCTCCCTCGCCACGAGGAAGAGTTGGGCGTTCTCTCACGGCCCCACGTCCCGGAATGTTTAGACGCCTGCAAATACATTGAATGGCTTCTTGACTTACCCGGCTTGCAAGACGATAGTGACCACACGGCCTGCGCTCCAACTTCCCTAACTTTGCCTTCCCGTTCCAAGCTTAAAGAATCGCGGACATAGCCTGTGTTCATGGCAGCACGGGATTCAGACTAGGCGAGGTACTGGCACGCACCTTCGAATAGCTGAAAAGTAAAATGAGTAAATTTGCGAGCGTGCACACATAGAAGTCGCGATTTGATTTGACAAAGCCATTTACGTGACGCGCAAGAACGGAGGCCTTGCGCACCGGACAGCCACCCTTAGTTCACGTTAAACAAAACGCTGGTCCGACAACGCAGTTATCTTGAAACTGACACTAGTTTAACGCTCACGCAAGCGCGAAGTAAGAGAAAGCACTGCAAAGCCTTTTACTCGACACCCACAGATGCGGCCATCAACATCAACCGCAGCCTAAAAACGTGAACCCGTGAAACTGCTGGCGCCCCCCGTGAAACTGCTGGCACTCGCGCTGCGCGCGTTGACACTTTTTTATACGATGATGATGATAGTTCGTGGCGCCCCATGTTGTATGTATTTGCAGCGGACATCGTAAATGCCGTGTATGTGACGTTGCAACAGGGAGAACATATAAACGTAACAGCTGTAACAGCTATCAGTACTACTAGTCTAGGCACCAGTAGGCACTGTAGTTGCTGCAGTATCTCAAACTACGTGCGGAGAATCACTTGTTAGGAGTCTGCGCCGTTGTATGGAACTCGGACAAATATTTATCGGCGGCTCACACTGCACTGCAACACAACGCATTCTGAGTGTCAGACACAGCTTCATAACAGCAGCGAATATGCGACTAAGGCCCTTCTAAATACGGTTCTAGAACAGTTCTAGTCGCAAAAAGCCGACGGTGGCACCGTTCACACCCCCACTGCAAATGATCGCGCCTCGTGCTGAGGCGCGCATGCTCGCGTCCGTGCTTGCGTCGACCCAGACAGACACCCGCACCACAAAACTACGCGTGGCTTTCGCTTGACTTTGAAGGCAACGCTTCTCCTTCGTTCAACAAATAAGAATAATAAAGACAAAATAAAACAATTAGGCATTCCCAAACCGCACCCAATTACGCAACAGTTATATAGATCGGGTATATTCTAGGCACGGGAAAGATGGTTTTCTTGCTCAGCACTGCACTGAGTGCAACTGTGTGCCCCTTTTCAAGGACACAGCAACCATGTACAAGCACACGGATGAGCGCACCGAGTCATCGTCGAGGCTGCGCAGATGGCACCCGAACAGGTGTCTTGCATTAGCAAGCCCTCCGTGTCTCTGTCCGAGAAGCAACTAAGGTTCCCCGAAGGTTTCGGTGCGCGCAAGTAGTTATATTACCTTTACTTTTCTGTTTCGTTTCCTTACAGACTTTTCTTTGCCTGTTTCTGTGCTTTTTTTTTTTTTCTCTTACGTTTCGCTCTTGTGCCATATGGTTTTTGTCTCATGGTTACTGTCTCTATATATTTTCGCACTTTGCGCAATAAACTCAGTTGGAAGTTAGTGCTTCGTGTAATTCGTGTCTTTCTTGTCTCTGCGTCGTCGTTTTGTTCTCGCGCTATAACTATTGTCATGTCCATACCAACTAGCCCAAGCTGCCACTCTTCGGTACCTTTGCAAACGAATGGCAGGGTTCGGAGGCCGTCAATGCTGCACCGCTGAAACGAATGGCAAGGTGCAGCACCTCGTGAACTGATTCACGTGGTGCAGGCGAATCAACGGACATACAGTCGATGGTGTGATTAGTGAAATTTTCCGTAAAAAACTCAAACTATATTATAAAGATTTGTATCCTTCATTTTATTTGCAACTCACGATTTTTTTTTTTTCACGGACAAGATGATTTCTCGCTTAAACCAGCGTCGCCGACGACGGCATTTCTACGAAATGAGCTCGTTAATGCTGTTGCGTTAATATTCATCATTTTTCTTGCACTACTCGACAGTGTCCGCATCGGTACCGGGTATTTCAATGAATGTGTCCAAAATCCTCAGAAATGAAAAAAAAAAAATCAATATGTGTTGTAGCACGCGGAGCTTACTAGTTATGAAGTTAAGCTATTTACGTTTCACGAGTTCAGCTAGCGTCAAATTCATTGGAGAATTGAAGTTCATGGGAAGAACGCATCCTACATTTGAGCAATAGAAAAATTGGCCTAGAGCTAATGTTGCGGCATAATTAAATCAATTACGTGCCACGAGTTTCACTGTCAAATTTTGTTGAACTTCACTAGAGTTGACTTTTTCCCCCTGGAAACCACGTGTATTCATTAATTTAGTGGTAATTTTTTTTTGTTCGAACACTCGATATCGTGTACCGTATTAATGATAACAGGGTGTACGTGCCCTTGTAAAAAAAATTGCCCGCAGCTTCCCTCGGGGGAACACTGAGGAAGATGCGGAGCATATAATTGGTTAACGGGGTGTTAAAGTGCGACTTACTTGGGTCGATGGCTAAATTGGTTAACGTGGTTGTGAAATGGGGTGTTAAATTGCGACTTACTTGGGTCGATGGCTAAATTGGTTAACGTGGTTGTAGGAGGGGGTGTTAAATGAGTGAACACGTACGCACGTATGCGAAAGGGCGGCGCTGGTCGAAGGGACGTCGATCATTGTGTTTGTGGATTCGTTGGAATTCATTTCACCGCGACCTTGGACGTCGACGCGCCGTACAAACCAACCGACGAGCGGCAACTGAGCGAGCGAGCGCCGACCTTGAGCGAGCGCCGACCTTGAGCGAGCGCCGACCTCCTGACTTCCGGGTTGGATTTAGGTTCACAGATTTTCCTAAAACTTTCAAAACTGGGTGTGTAGATAACAAAGATAAAAAGTGATACTTATTATTTCAGTAATGTCTGTGGTTTTGGTATGGCGTGATGTCCAATATATTGGACAATGGAACCTAATCAGTTAAATTGTGAAGTAGTGGGCTTGCAGCAACACGAAGCTACTTTACTAAAGAAAATTGTTACAAATTCTGGAAGAACCATTTATTACTCAAAATTTCGCAAATATTAAACAAAATACAAAGAAAAAAGGACCTTAATTTGCTACCTGCAAATTATTTTTGTTAGAAGGTTACTTTGTGTGGGCCGACTCGAAACAGTTCCTTTCCTTCGTTAGGCAAAAGAACAGCTGGCACTTTGTACAGAAGAACTTCGTCTTCATACTGCATCCTTCAAGCCTGCAGCGGGCAGCGTTTGCAGTATCTGCCAGCCTTGGGAGGTGCATTGCAGAAACTGTATTTCGAGCGCGCTTCGATGGCGGAACCCATTCAGTTTCACTGTCGCTTTCAGCATTTTCTTTCATATGGCCCTGCTCAACCAGTGATTCAGCCACTGCGAGACGAAACTCCAGAAATTTGGGTATTTCTTTCTGTCGCTTTTTCTGTCGCATTTGCTCGTCGATACATACATGCTCTGGGCGAGGAAGGTTTCGGCAGCCTTCTAGCATCCAGCAGACCAGTGGCCTTATCCGCCAAAGCAGGTCTTCTTTTTTCTCATCTTCTGTCACATCATGCTCATTGACAAGTTGAAGCCGGCGTCGCAGCTTAAAATACCTATTGCGGGCCATGTGATTAGCAACAAGGGGAAGTCGTGTTTCCTTCTTCCAATACATCTGTATCTGGGGGTAGCCCAAGCATGACATCGCCAACGATATCCCAAAAAAAGTTTTGAGCTCACTTGCTGTCACGTTCAAAGGACGCCCTGACTCGTGGACATGGCTTCTGTTCATGGCATCTGCCATTTTTTCGTATGCCTGTTCAGGTACGTACTGACAAAAGTAGTCTGATGGAGTCCAAGAAATCCTTGCTGCACTAGAATCAACAGCGTCGGGAATGAAATCCGGAATCCACGTCGGAACTGGCCTGCATTAAAAAAAAAAGAAATGAACTAGCGTGAGAGAGAACACCGTCCCGTGTTCGCACTTTTGTTTAAACTGTGACCACAAAGACACAATACATCACGCCACATGCTTACCCTTGGAGCCGCTTCCAGGACACCTTAGCTGACTTGCTGGTAGATGTGGATGGGCCATCATCACCGCTTTCATCCTCATCGGAGCTAACACCCTGAAGGGGCGCAGAAAAGCTTGGATCAACGATGGTGTCATCGTCACTGTCCGACAAGTCGAGGTCTGACGAGTTGCCCTGAGCTATTCGCTGGAGTATCTTCTCCGCCGTGTCATCCGACACACGAGGCCTATCCCCTGAACAAAAAGAGAGACGCTTTATCCATGCACAAATAAAAAAGACAACCACGCACAAAAAACGCCACGCGACACCGAAAAGAACGCAGGTTCAACGCGCCGCGTTTCTACATTCGAAATGACGGCCTTGAGTGCCAGCGTCCAACGTGTTGGACATGCACTATCAAATCACTAGCAGAGAAATGCAGGCACATGCGCAACTGAAATTTTCCATTCAACATGCGCCTCTATCATTACCTTACTAGTTATTCATCCTTAGGACGCTAAAACAGTTAAAAGAATACTATAAACAGCACTTACTTCTCCGGCGGTCGCCGTAGAACGCTGCTCCGCTGAACGTCGCCATGTTGTCTTCTTTATTTTGGAATCCGCTGGCCCAACTTCGATAAAACTTCATAGATGGCGCTAGTAGGCGTCCAAAATATTGGACAACTGGTTCTTAAGGGTGAAAATACGCTGATGTCTTCGTAGTGACGGAGTATTTCATGTCCAATATATTGGACAAATCGCCATAGCTGGAACTCAGGAGGCCCGACGGCACGACGGCGCATGCACTGTCAGCTGTTGAATGTTCTCGAAGCGCGACGCCACATGCGCGTCCACTGGAGAATCAGGAGAATTGTAGATGTCGAACGCGGTGTGTAGAGGAGGAAGGGTGCACAGATGGTGGAGGAGTGAAGCGCGCGCGGTGTGTAGAGGAGGAAGGGATGCACAGATGGTGGAAGAGTGGGCGACGGCGCATGCGCGCGCGTCAGCTGTCGAATGTTCGAGAGAGAGAGAGAGAAAAAACTTTATTAAAAGGTCAGTCAATTGCTCAGGCATGGCCCGTTGCCCCTAGCTGTCGGCCGGAATCCCTTGGGACGCGGCAGCAGCAAGGGCTTGACTGATGATGTCGCGCTGGACGTTGGGATCTGGGCTGCAGAGCAGGGCCTCCCAGGATTCTACAGTGCGAGAACCATCGTTTTGACTTGGACATGTCCACACCATGTGGACCGAATTCGCTACCTCATCACAAAATTTACACTGGGACTGGAAAACTGCGGGGTGCCACTTGCTGTAAAGTGCGGGGTTTGGAAAAACCCCGGTCTGTAACTTTCGCCACAAAATCTCGTTTTTCTTACTTAGTGAGTTGTCCGCTCTTGGGTACACTTGCCGATTCAGCCTGTAGTGTGCGATGATTTCATGGTATGTGCGCATATACTCGCTTCTTTGTTCGGTAACTTGGGAGGTTCCAGGGGTCGACCGGTA